GCACAATGTTCTCCACTTAAAGTAGAAAATTCTTTTCTTGTTAATCCCTCTTCCTCTCCCCACCCCTCACCCCTGTTTTAATGAAAAACTGCTTGCAGTTCCCAAACTGGGCCCTCACAGAGTTTGGTATGTTTAACTGTTATTAAATTCATCTCCTGGTGGAAAATCATGTCACTGAGAATGTACATTGTTCTGTTACAAACACTCTTGTAGTATACATTATTGGAGTATTTTAAAAGCCACAGCCTCAGACTTATTGTAAGACAGATGCTAAAATATTGATTTAAGTAAAATAGTTTTAATCTAAGAAAAACACAAGCCTTCAGTTTTGTTGATAAATATAATTTTATCTGCATTCTGATAATATTTTAGAAATCTGACAGTAGCATGCTTTTTTTTCAGGATGCAAGACATGCTGCAGAAGGAGAAATATACACAAAACTTAACCAAAAAATAGATGAATTTATTCAGATTGCTGATTATGATTGGACAATGTCTGAATCAGATGGAAGAGCCAGTGGATACTTAATGGACCTTATTAACTTTTTAAGAAGCACATTTCAAGTTTTTACTCATTTACCTGTAAGTGTTCAAAATTAAGTTTAAATTCAAGTTTTTGGAACGTTATTTTATGTTAAAATGCCAAGATTTTGAAGATAGATGTAATTTTTTAGTTGTGTGTATGCTAGCAGGTGTATTTTAAAATTTTTTTCAGTACAAATGTATTTTCAGATGTGTTTCAGTTTGTTGGTGATTCTTACTCATGGCAATACAGAAAAAATACATTCAAATACTTTAATAATATTGGTAACAACAGCTAATTTACAAATAGTGTAAGAACTCATGCAGTTTTCTAGAGTATTAGATGACGTTTGTAGTTAACCAAATTGGTTCTGTGTACACAGGCATTGATTCAAACAATGCAGAGTTGATGCAAGTCCTGCATTTGTGCATAAGGTTATGGAGGTCTTAGCTTTTCCAAGGTTGTTTTTAGCTAAATAGTTTTGATCATAAAATGTCATTTGATTCTAGTTAACGTGAGCTTCATTCAAATGAATCTTTGTTCTCATATTCAAATATATCCTGTTTTATTTAGTCCCAGGTAAAAGGGTACTGTTAACCTGTTTTATGTACTAATTGTTACATTCCATTTTCTAACTTCATCTTGCTTTAAGACAAAAAAGACTATTTTGAGTTTGATTTATCATCATAATAATTCATAGCTTTATAGGTCTGGAGCAACTTCAGTAAGTCTTTCAAGCGACATTTGCTTTTCATCTGCTTGTCCTTGGTTGCTACTGTCACACGTCTGGGTGCTTTACTCACATGCAATGCTTGTAAAGAGCAGGTCCTTAATGCATAGAATGTTTTGGGGCTTCAGACTGGAAGTAAAAGGTAATTTCTTTACACACACAGCAAGGCGTTGAAGTTGCTCGCATAGTGGGTTTATCTGGTCTTCCAATTCACATGTGAATATTGATGTGAATGTGGTGCGTGAGACGTGCTTCTGTGCCAAGTCAGTAGAGCATTTTTTGATAAAGAATAGCAAGTTTGATAGATAGTTAAATTCATTGTAACTTAACATACAGAGCAGTGTGAACAAATGGCACTGCTCCTCAGTGGTCACGTGGGTCTAGCAGCTAAGGGATGTTCACCTTCTAGAGAAAGATGTACGGAAGTCTGTCATGAATGTATGTTGTGATACGGCTGTTTGGAATTGAGTCACGGACAGAACAAAGTGTTGTGTTAAGAGGGATGGAAAGAAGCAGCTCTGGCATCAGGACTTTAAAAGTGTGAAATTAATAGAAATATGTGCCTGGGGGCATAAGTCAACCTGTAGAGAAAGCTAATTCCTATGAAGAGTTATTTGATAATTTCAGACTCTGGTCAGGTAACAGGCAGGATGTAGAACTGTATGGATGACTAGTCTGGTCTGGTGGGTGCTTGTAGTTTTTTTACTTATCCTGTGTGTTTCTCCCTGTTCTCGCTTGGCGAACTGTATAAACATGCAATCCTACGAATGTTGTTGTGCATGAGCTGTGGAGGTTATGTGAAAATGTGTATACAGTCTTATTATGGTGATTCTGGTTAGATTGGTAAGTTATTTCCATTAAGAGAAAATGTATAGTAAGAACTTTTTCAAAGATAAGCCCAGTACTGGGTTCTGTAACTCATTAAAATAGTATGTGCTTTGGTGTGCTAAACCAAGCTAGATTCTCATATGCTATAGCTGGGATTTGGAATACTTTTAATGTTAATTTCCATTAATGAATTATTCCATTAATGTCACAGTGTCATTTCCATAATATTTTTTTGTATGGCTGGCAGAAACATTCCACTGCTCAAAATAGTTTCTCAGAACGTTTTCTGTAATTAGAAATCAAAGAACAAAAGTCCTAGCCAGTGGCCATAATTCTAGTAAGGAAAAGAGCAGAACAGGTAAAGGAATCTCTTGTCTTCCTACCTTAGTGTATCCAATCACGTTAGAGGGCATTGTGTTAGGGGTAGGGGCGCTAGCTGGCCACGCTTGTTCTTCATAGTCTTTTTCAAGGATCACTGACTTTCTCTTTGATATTTTTCAAATTCCAGTCTTCCTGTAAAAATGTTATGATATGTTCTTTTACAATGTCTTGTTGCAGTTGTTGAGTTCCTGTCATTAGAGTCTTGTTTTACTTTAGCTGTATGTGTAAGGTGTGTAAATGCACAGGGATGTGTCTCCTTTTGTGCTTCCATGTAGGGCTATACTGAATTATTTCTGTACCAATGTAGGCATAACTTTTAAAAAATACATCTTATGTTACATACCTGTTTTATGAAATTGTATTATTTTTATTGGAACATTAGAGATCTAAATCAGGTAGACCATGATCTCAATTTTACTGAACCTGCACACTTTATGAGACCCAAATTAAGTTTTTCCATATCTCTACTGAATCAATTCTGAGTGAAAAACACTCAGAAGTGATTCAGTGTGTGTTTAGAAACATCTTGTGTCTCGGAAGCTTTTTTTTTCCCCTCAGGTTTTACATTTTAGTTTTCTCCTCTGTGTTTGATTACTGTTTTTAAGAAGCAGCTTTTGGAAAGAAAATATCTTTCTTTCATCATACTATATATTATCATTAGATTTATGTTAAAATTTATTAATGGGTCATGTTACATTTAGATTCTTTCTGTCCTGAGCCATTCTAAGTCTTGCTTGAACAAAGGAAGTTAATGACATACAGGTAGCCTCCCTAAGCCAAGATGGCATTTATTCTTTAACCTAAGTATTTTGGAATATATTATTTCTTATCATGAAAACTTTCTGGAAAGGCATATCAACAGCCACTTTATTATTTGCAGCTTGCTACTTTGATATTTTGGCATACCGTTACTTATTACAGAAAAACATTTTATTGCTGAATTAGTATTATTTAAAATATAATCTCTTTGTTAGGCCTCAACAAAATACTATATAAGTTCACAGGTTAAATAAAATAATTTAAGGAAATACATAGTTGTAATTGTTCTTTTTGGAAGTTTTTCCTTACCTTTTATTGCTACCAATTTTTTATTCTTTTTTTTTTTTTTTTTGATGTTGACAGTACATCTTAATTTTTTTGTTTTGATTGCCTTACTGGTTTCCTTCTCAGAATAACAACAATGACCATGCAGCTATGTCGGTAAGTAGATGCAAGATGAAGAAAAAGCATGTGAACTGAAAAACTATGAACTGCCTGCAGGCTTATTGCTTCATTTTTTAATCATTTAATAAAAGACCCTTCTGTTTTGCTGAAGACTTGCTGCGTACCTTGTGTGGTTGCATGCAGGGATCAGGTTAATGACTAACATTGGGCTTTCGTACACTGGGGCAGCAGGAGCCCTAAAAACCTTGCAGAAGGTTGGTGGGTTGTGCCTTGCATCCTAAATGAGATAATTTAGAGGAGACTGAGACCTTTTGGAAGAGAGGTCAGGTATCGAAATGCAGCTATGAGACATGCATACAGAATAAGGGCAGCGTGATATAACAATATAAAGAATAAGTGAATGTTCCATCGTCTCTCTGCTACGTCTGCCTGGGGTCAAGGGAATGTGTGTGCTCAATTCTCCCTCCCCGTCTCCCTCTCAGATGATGGATTGCATTTAAGAATTCTTTCAAGCCCTGATTATTTTCAGGTCATCAAATTTTGTATAAGGAGTTTATTTTGATTGGATATAAGCATTTCCATGATAATAAAAGTGTTGAAATTAATATTACTCTGTTAAGAGTGGTTTCTGAATACTGAATTTCTGAACTTAGTTTTACTAATTTTCTCTAATAATATGGTTGAATCTTGTTCGCTTAAGCAGCGTACAGCAACAAACATGCACTGTGCAGTTCACTGTTTAAGTGAACAAATGTGTAAGGAGGCACTTAGAGTACACACTGTGGGATTAACCCTGTTCATTGCTACAATCTGGAAAACAATTGGCTGAGTAGCAGCTCTGTGGATCTGGAGAGAAGATCTAGCAGTGCGCTTACAAGTTGTTAGGAGCCTAGAGCACATGACTAACAAATGGAGGTTTAGGGAGGTGGATTATTTAGTCAGTTAAAGAGAAGGCTGGGGAGAGATCTCGTGGCAGCCTTACAACCTCTTGAGGGACAGACGGAAAGGTGATGAAGCCAAACTCTCCTTGGTAGGACTGGCAAATTCACATGTGGCTGTGGTCACAAGTAGAAGCTGGGGAGATGAGGCTTTGACATAAAGAAAAAGTCTGCATGAAGAGAACAGTGTGGTGTTGGAGGATACCCAGGGAGGCTGTTGAATTCCCACCCTTGGTTGTTTTGAAGGCTGAGCCAGAAAAAGGAAAACGGACCTGCACTAGTGTTGGCAATAGTCCTACTCCAAGTAGGAGGCTGGACTAGATGTTCCAAAGAACATTTCTAGAATTTAAATATTCAGCCTCATGTTGAACTGTCAAGCTAACAGGTGTCATGAGCACTAGGAATATTGAATATTTTGGGTAGGGATATTTCTGTTAATGTTGAATAGGTGTCAATGTGCTGGTATGTCATGACTGAGCACTAGCAAAATTTCAGAGATGCAGAGCACAAGCTGCATTCTCTTGAAAGGTTATAGTTTGAAAGTCATTCAGTTTTTAACAGTTCTATTTTCTAAAGTCACAAGAATTTAGTCTTTTGAGATTATTGCTGGTTTTGGGTTCTTTTACATCCCATTTTAAGTTCATACTGCAGTTTATAGTGCGATTAGATACTTCAAATCAAAAAGCAGATTGAAATTTCATTATGTGGCCATTAATTTCATGAAATCAATTGGATGATCAAATGTGTTATTAAGGACCTGGGTTTTGGGTTTGGGTTTTTTTTTTTTAATACTTAAAGGAAAATACTATCTTTTACTTTCATATCAGTTAATTTGAATCTGTGGAGGGTGTATATGTAAGTGGTTTTAATCCAAGTTCAGAATTAGCTGAAGTTTTGTCCTAGATATGTATTTTGTCGGCACAGAGTTAGCATTGGACAGCTGTTTGGAAAAGAATGACTATTGAAAAGTAACATCTACAAATTTACTTTGAAGTAGGTATTTTTTATCATTATGGTAGAATTTTGGGGCAGAGACCAGAAATAAAAATTCCATTAGTGTTTTTTTAGTATACTTGTATTTTATTAACAGCTCAGAAGTTGGATTTTAGTCCTGATGTTAAGTAATACAATGCTTCAGTTATTATGACTGATAAAATCTGTATGTTTAGTTTATTTGCATTTTCAGAAAGTTTTTCATTATGTCATTTCTTATTGTTAAATTAATTCTTCAGCTTAACTTCTTAGATTTAACAGAAGTTTTGTTATTTCCTTTTATGCTGAGGATGGCAGTTTGTGTTATTTTATTGTTTCTGTGATTGGCAGCAAAGGCCCAATTTCACAGCTTGCAGTGAGGGTGAAGGGGTGGTGGTTTTCTGCAGCTATATTCAAAAACTGTCAATCAGCAGCCTCCACGGGCTACTTAGAGAATGGGTTTTCTTACCAATTTCTCCAAATGCTGTTTCATGCTGTCTTTGATTGGCACAGCCTGGCAGGGAGGATGGATGAATCTGTCACTGGCTGGTTAATTGTGTTGCTGGTCTCAGCCTGACATCAGGTCTTTGACTCTTAAGTAGCTCAATACAAAACAAATTAGCAGATTGTAGTCATATTTCTCATTCTATATGCTTTGACTTTGTTGAATGCAGTCCATAAATCATATTGACTGACACCATAGTGAATGATGAAAGCTGCTTTTGAGACAGCTAGCATAGGTCTTGGCAGTACCGCGAAGGTGCCGTGGAAGGATGCATATGGCTGACCCTTTGGGAATTTCCTAGGAGCCAAATGTCTCTTTACGGCAATTGTTCTTAGGAGAAAAGCTTTTGGGTCCTATAAAAAAGGGTTTAATATGTCAGCAGATTCTCTTTACAACCTCCTTTGAAATATAAGAAGTTTGTCTAAGGGTTTTCTCTTTTTACAAACTTGTATTTCAGCAAAATGTGAAGGCTGGGTGAAAAAGTAGTTGTCTTTAACACTGCTAGCAGGTGTTTTTACTTATAGAATAGGGTCCTTGTTTCTTAAACTTTACGTTGGTTGAGTGGAAGAATAGGTTTTGTAGATAGCAGCAATTAGCATAGGCATAGTGGAGATAATAGTGATGTCTCCAAATGGGAGGCAACTGGAGCAGATGTGAGAAGCCTGCTGAATCTCTGCATGCTATTGAATATAGGTATTTAATTGCTAGATACAGTAACCACAGCCACCCCTCCCTTAAAGAATAATAGTAATTTAAAAAACCCAAACTGACAATAAACATTAAGAATGTTTTAAAACTAACTGAGATTTGTTTAAGTCCGGAAAACAAATGTGTTATTGTTATGTTCACAAATCCTTAAAAATGCATCCTCTTCAAAATGCATTATGAAAAAATGGCAAGTAATTGATTAATTGGTGGATGGTGGAAATTTGGAGAGAGATTTTTAACAAGATCTTATTTGTCAAACACCGATTTGAATTTCATTCTTTTCTGAACATTGTACATTCAATGTTCTTTGAACTGGGAAGCACTGAATTTTGAAGAGGATAACAGTTCACATTTGTCACAGTTAAAATTCAGCATTTTGGTTGATATATGTAGCTTCATTATTTCCTCTAGATTTAAGAAAATTGAGTGATTGTATTGAGTAAGTATAAGCTGTGTATAGTAAATTTCTGTTGTTTGTTGATCTGTCATGTGAACAATAAGCCTGTAGTTCAAGTTACATAGTTGGAAATAGTTTAAATGTTAGGATGTTTCCATTTTATGAAATTTTAAAATAAACGTTCAACGTCCATGTATTGATTATTTAAAGTCCAAGTGGCTTTTACCATGCCATTTCTGTATTCTAACCATTGTCTTGTGCTCCAGTACTATTGATATTTGCCAGATTCTACCAATTAAGTACAGATGCTTGTTAGAAATATAAAATTCTATCTTTTATTTAAAATAATGGAAGAGTACACATCATTTGCATATGAAATAAATTGTATGTTAAAATTTTTCTTGACAGCCTATTAATCTGGTTGAACTTTTATTACATTATAGTGGCAGCATAAATAGGACATGGAGCTGATTTGATGGAGCAGTACATTAAACAGAGATGCACTATTTGTTCCATTAAATCAAAATGTCATTTCCATTAAGTATTTTAAACCTACAACACTGTAATTAAATGAACTGTGGCCCATTGATTCCCCTTCTCACCTCCCTTTTCCTTATTTTTTCTCCTTTTTTTTTTCCCATTCATATTGATATTGTTGTTCTTGGGGAATAGAGCTGCATGTCTCCCAGTGTAATTACCATTGGGTTTGGGAGACTTTCAAGCATGCTGTTCTTGCATTGTTTCTTACATTCCTCATTGTCAGATCATCTATTTTAGTCAAAAATGTTGTTTGCTTTTCTGAGATTTTCAATTAAGAAACTGACATCTCATTTTAGATATAAAGCTCCTAGCAGTTCAAGGTGTCCTAATGCTAAAGAGGCATTAGCAAAAGCCATGTAATGTGTCAGTGTGACAAGTGAGGAGAATGAACACTTTCCATTGTATTGTCTACATTTTAATTACATTTTAACAAAGAACGGATTTTTAAAGTACAAAATATTTAAGGCCAAATTTCTTTTCTGTTACATGTATGCATGAAAATTCAATTATATGAGCAAGTTGTCTTGTTAAGAACCAGATCTGGCTCTTCATATGTTGGAGCAGGACTTTCCAAAGTTTTTGGGACAGTGAACTGCTGTCTATCCTTAGCAATTTTCATTGCTTATCTGTTTTTCTATGAGTCAACAGTGAATTGATCAGCCTGACTTTGCAGAAAACATCTGGGGAACCATTGCTTTAGAGAATAGGTGTCATCACTTTACTGATGGATATAAGTAAAACGATAGTGGTGTGTGCTCCCGTAGGTGTACTACGTAATTACAATTTTTTGTGTGTGTTAATAGTCACCTTTGTTTCAATATGTATCATAACATAGACCTCAGTTGAAAAGCATGGTTTAATAAGTAAATTAAACTACAGAGATTCATATAATTGCATTTGAAATCCAAGATCACTCTGTTCTAAAAGATTGCAGTGCTATGAATAGAATGGTGCCATCTGATCGGGTATTTGGTCTTAATTGGTTTTCTGAATTCTAGGGTAGAATTTCCATGTTTTTCTTTTTTTCTGTACTAAATTTGTAATGATTTATGTAATTAATGTCTGATTTTGTGCTTTGATTTTTGGTCTCATGTTGGGAAAATTATTTGTCTCAATTACATATACATTACAAGGAGAAATGTTACTAACTAGACTATGCTTGGGAAATTATTTCTATTTTGTACAGCAGAGGGCTACATTTCATTTTGTAAGTAGCTGATTACTGACAGCACTGATTTATTAAGCACCTGAAAAGATGATGGATAAGCATGAATATTTTAAATAATTTTGCAACAAGCTTTGAGACGGAATTCAAGCAATTAAAGTGCCAATAATTAGCACAAGCTCTTATGAAAAATGCCCCAATGAAAAGCAGTGCTTTTGGTTATATAAAGTTTGGGGTTTTTTTACTGACTATTGTTAAAAGTATGCATCATGTTGATTTTCATTACATTCTTGCTTTTATTCTGTTTGGGTAAAAAAAATAAATCCACAAAGCTGTTCATATGCTTCAGCAACTTATATCATTATTATCTTGGAAATGGCCTTGTATTCGTGAAGACTGGATTTCTGGAAGAAATATCAATAATTGCTTTAACATATATTTAATTTAGTTCCTTGATTGATTTAATAGAAACAAAGCTAGCAGGTCAAAGAAATAATAGCAAGTGTGATCTTTCTCCTTCTAATCTAAATCCTGCATCATTAAGACTTTGAGTGTATATTAAAATTAAATTAGATAAGCAGTTCTTTAGTGATGTATCATTTGTTTTGATCTTAAAACCTGTTGCTCTTTCTACTAGGGAAAAGTGGCCCAGACAGCTTGCATGTCAGCTTGCCAGCATCTTTCAATGTCCCTAATGCAGATGCTACTGGACAGTGAATTAAAACAAATAAGCATGGGAGCAATTCAGCAGTTTAATTTAGATGTGATACAGTGTGAATGTAAGTAGATGTTCCAGAATTCCTATCTTTATCTGTCTTAACACTGCAAAAACTTATTTAATGTAAGCCATATAGTGAACTTTTTCCATAATCTGCTAAAACTTTGTCTTTAAAAAAAAAATTATAGTACAGCTTCTTATAAAAGTATTTATGAGGAAGTAGGTTAACATTTCTGAGAAATTTTTGTATGAAGCTTTTTTTTTAACTCAGGGAACTGACTGAAACCTACATCTGTTGTTACTCCTAATGGGGTCATATTTGCTATATCCAGTAAAAAGACTATAGCCTAGTACAGAATTGTCCCAGAACTCCACATAAATATTACACTTTTATAGCTGAGGGGGGAAAAAAGGTCATAATTCTGTGAAACTGATTTTTCCTCTAGAGTTTATTTATGATGATACAAATTTTAAATGTGCTGTTACATAAGGTTTCCTCCCTCCTAGAGCTATTACTGCCTTACGCACTGTGCAGAATAATAGTACTCATTTATTAAACATCAGATGTTGTTTTATTCTCACTGTTCAAAACATGGCATCAGAATTACTTTATGAAACAGTGCAGGCAGGATTAATTTCCTCATGTTTTGCATGGAGCTCACTGCCGAGGGCGAGCTGTTAATCTGCATGAAGGAAGTTCCTTCCATAACATCATTGTGTTATGAGTATGTTTTAGGTGTGGTTTGATAGTTGTTGACTGAGATACAGTGAAAGGTTCACTAGCGGGCTTTTTTCAATGCATATTTTTAGATTATTATGCTCTGTTTTTTCAAAGTATCTTTCCTCCTAGGTGTTTGAAGCATGGATCTCCGTGATTTTAGTGACAGCTGTAAAATGGGGCAGTTCTTCAGGTCATATCCTGAGGATTTTAGTTTGGACATGTGAAAAAATGGATGACCACTCAGTTAGTAGCTACCTATGGGAAACTGGAAATTTGATTTCAAGCAATTTGGTTAGCATCACAAAGGGTTCTTGTGGGAGGCCAGGGACAGAGTTCAGGGACATTTTCACCATACACTGGTCTTTCCTTCTCCTCCTTTATTTATTACATTCCAGCTAAACTCTGTAACAGGTAGAGCTGGCATCTTTCTGACAGTCCTTCATTATACAGCCTTAAGGCTTTTCAGTGCATGGAATTAACTGATGGGATTATCAGGGTCCAATTGAAAAAATATTTGTGATCATGACAATAAAATTTGTCTGTGATTGCACAAGTTGGCCAAACAGATGATGGCTTGACTTTTTTTTAGTTTTAGTGTGCTTGATGTTGCAGATTTAATAGTGTTCTCTTCAAGTGAGAGGGTAGGGTTCTGTGTACATGTATTTGTGTAGTTTCCTAGATGTAAAATTGTAATCCCAGTTGTAAAAACAGAAATTCCATAGTATGCTTAATACTGACACCATAATCCTTCATCTAGACAAGCTGAATTGGTGCACCCTCTACACAGTCATCTGCCTTCTGAACAAATAGCGTAACAGCAGAGAAAGCTTGCCCACTACCATATGATTCTGTTTCTGATATTTAAAATATCGTCTGTGAACAATGCAGCACTGCATTACTCTGTATAGATTAACCAATTCACTGTTTCACTCGGGGATTTCTTGCAGTACAGGGGATAAAATGCATGCCTTGCGGCTGACTTCTACAATACGAGCTGTATGTTCACAGCAAAGTAATGAGAAGTCTGGCTGTCATCTGGTTTCTGGGCTGTTCTCAGACCTTTTCCTTCTCAGCCTTTGCCCTGTTATGTGCCATCCTAATTTCTATTACCACTCTTTCTACCATCTTTGGTTGCTGCACAGTGGAAACTTCATTCAGTGGAGTTTTATTTAATCTAACATGATAACATTTCATTATTTTAAGATTAAAATACAACCTTAAGACAGTATGTTTTGTTATATGTAACTGTTCTACTGAGCATGTAGGATGGACAGGAGGTGGGAAACCTTAGGCCAAAATGAGAAACTCTCAGGAAGCTATTAATTTGAAGACTAAAGCTCTTTCCACCATTGCCTAACTTCTAGCGTGGTCTGTACAGATGCAACTAGAATAAACTTTAGTTCTTCATTTCTGCAGTGCTTTTCAAACACATTAGGAAAAAAAAAAAGGGTTTGCATAGAAATCCTTTGAGTAGTTTAAATATCATTATGGAAGCTTGTCAGAACAGTATGTTGCAACAAATGACTTCTTACAATCTGTGGGGTAAGGGACCGACACAAGATTTTGCTCAGACTGCTTTGCTGTTGTGGTTTCATTGATAGGGTCCACCACTGACACATTCCAGGCCTCACTGTGATGCCTGTGATTTATGTTCCTGCTCATCACCCTCCCCCAGCTTTATTCTTTGACACTTTGGGATTAATGGATACAACAGTGACATTTCAATTAGTGCTAGTGTGTGCAAATAATTCAAAACTGTTGGGTAGTTTCCTACTGTATTGTATATGTGGCTTTGGCGTTTTACTTGCAGACACAGTGGAGTATACTCAGATGCATTTTGAACTAAGAAGTTATGTGAGATGTAGAAAGTTACGACTATCTGAAGATACATTTTAAAAAATCTTGGCACTATTATAGATATTTATTCTGATCTTTAACACTACATTTTTATTCTTTCTATTATAAACTGGAGGAGATCTAAATTAAAGCAGGAAAATGTGATTACTTGCCAGATCTTTTTTTCCCATTAAAAAGCAATCAACGGTTCAACCAACAACCTCACAAGCTGTTAATGAGCAGCAATGTATTGAAGTCAGTAAGCACTGAAGTTTTTAGTCACAGCAAATAGGTAGAATGAGAAGTGGACTTCCAAGAAAGAAGGAAGGACCTTGCCCAGAAGGGGATTGTTTTGTGGTGAACCCTGGGATTTCATTATCCCCCACTGCATTTCTGTGCAAAGTACCTAACTTTAAAAAGCAGAGCAGAAAATCTGGAGCTCTTTTGATACTTTTGCTCAAGAACAGTAGTAGTATCAGGTGGTCTTCTCTGATTTTTTTAGGGGGGAAAAAGAAAGTTATGATCTTATTGCTCTGCTTCTAATAAGTTTTTTATTTTCCTTCCAGATGTTCCCAAAGTTTTTAGTTTAGTTTCAGTTTGTCTTGTTCTAACTGAAGTATTTCTCCACTCTCTACATATTTTATAACTTAGAGCAATGTTTTACCTCTGTATTTTATGTCATTCTTTCTCAGTGGTGACCTTCCACTAGGATGATTGGGATTCTTAACAACAGTATTCAGAAAAATAGAACATGCCAGGTCCCATTGAATAAACCCCAAAGAATAGTCTTTGGCTTAGACATTGCATTTCAGTGCCCTGAGGAGGGAAATGGGTTGGGGAGGGGAGGTGTTAGCTATTTATTGAAGGTAAAACTCAAATGTGGGTTGCTCTCTCTCACTTTATGAGAAACAAGGCATACATAATAGAAAATGAGCTTTTCAGAGACACCATCCAGCTCTAGATACCTTACATCAACTTTTTATTAATTAGAACTTGTCAGAAATCTGAATTGCTGGAAGACTTACATGTAATTTTTATAATTTATATGTTTTAACATAGCTGAATGGTGAGATTCATTGGCAGAAGCAGGTATGGTTGAGTGGGCATCCTTCTTCACCCAGATATGAATCTGTGCAAGGATGAAAAGTTTTGGGTCCTGCCTATAAATGAGTATGGTGTAACAGAGAATTAGTGCAAAGCAGGATGCAGTATGCCTTCCTAACCAGCCCTACGTAGGGCTTCCTGCCAGTCCCTCCTTTTGCACCCGCGATGTGGAGAGCAAGAGAGATCTTGACCCAAGTGCTCTCAACTGAAAATACCTGAAGGTAATCTCCAGGTGGGCATGCCAAAAGCTCAGGAACCCAAATCCTGTTTTTCTTTGAAAAGACACTATGTTCTGCTCTGGAAGCCCCTCACTTTACCTGCCTCCTCTCCCATCTGGGAAGTCAGGTTAACGCAACTCACTTGAGGCCGTCCTTCATCTGCCGGTCACATATGGCAGCACAGGAGCCAGGGGAAGCAGCAAGATCTCGCCAGGGCTGGGGGCAGGGCTGGGGGCTGCTGCCTGGCCAGCTGGCAGCTCCCACAGGGAGGCTCCCCTCCAGGCCTGTTTGAACAGCTGGAGCATCCAACAGGGCTGCAAAGTGGCTGATGGCTGCTGAGATAGTCACCTGGTTCTCTGGGCTTCCTTTAAAAATACATTTGTGGCTTTGCTGTCCTGTCTGTGAATCAGTGCTGTGAGACTGAAGCAAAACTGTCCAAATTTAGCTTTCGATCCAAAGTCTGGACTCTGATTTTTAGTTTCTGCCATTAAGTGGCAAAACTGTTTGTCAGGAATTAGGTACTGAATTCTCAGACCAATAGAGAGGGACAACCAGATAATGGCTAAAAGATGGGGTTTTGAGAGGATGAAATTTACTGAAATGTACCTCTTACTAAATCTAGAAGTGTGTAGAGATTCAGTACAATTTACAGTTGAAGATGTCTTAAATTTCATTTTAGCAGGTACAGCCTTTTTCTTAGGTTATCCACTAACAGATATATACATCAATTCACCTATATCCTGTATACAAAATATAATGAAAAGATCAAAGCAAAGAATTCAAAAGAAAATGGTCTGAAGTCATCTTTACAATATTTAAATCTACTATTCTCCTGTATATGTTATCTTCCAGCCTGGTTTTGTATCATTACATACTTTTTTCAATAGATCCTACCTCCTGTAAATTCCCAAACTGGCTGTTGTAGTAAATACATTGAGATTGTACATATTGTGGACGCACATTGTGCCAAAGATCCTGTTTTGTGTACGCAGAAAAGCTCTACACAGTATCAGCAAAGTGCAGGGAAGGAAGATGTTAACAGAAACCTTGTGAATTCCAAATTCGTGTAATGCATGTGTTCAGCTTTTTTTTCATGAAAACATTGATGTTTCTGATGCAAACTGCCAAGCAGGCAGTTGGCTGCCCCTATATGTGACAGTTTAATGATGATCTTGGCAATTCATTCTCATATGTTATAGAATTCCTGAATGCTCTTCTGCACCCTAAACCAACCAACCAGTCCCCTACCCCTCCAAATCCTCTTTAAGCGTAGAATGAACATAGGGGATGAATCTTTTACAAGATGTGTATATGACAATGTTTCACTACTATCTGGAAAAGGACCCTTAGGACAAAGACATTAAGAATGTTAATCCTGTTCTTGCAATATCTTCCTAAAATGCTGTGCAGTAGAAAATATTTAATTAGCTTTGTAAAATTGTTAGCAACACTTAAAAGCCCTGAGCTGAGGGCGGAGGGGGAACTGTCTGACCCTTACCGTAAGTAGATTATCTTTTTGCCCTTTGAACTCATGAAATTGTAATAATGAAACGAATTCTACAGTAGTCACCTGTCAAAAATGACCCAAATGCGAGAATAAATGCTTGTGCTACAGTGAGTGTCTCTGGTGTTGTAAATGCATTCATAATATAAAATTGTGGTTAAAGAAGGCAAAGCTTATACAACAATTAAGTTTGTTACCTTGCATGCTGCTTGTTCTGTAGCTGCAATGGTAGTAGGTGCTACATAAAGAAACTACATTTTGTATTGTTTAATGCATTAGGATAAATTCCAAAGTATGTTAGCCTGATGAGCTGCATAAAGGATGCAAATATTTGACCTGTGGCAAATAAAAGTGTCCCACTGTAGAAAGGTACCTCCCGATGTGAAAGGTGCCAATAGCTAGCTGAAAAGTTTTGCTGCAGGTCACACTTTTCAGCTGTATTCACTTTTGGGTTCTGTAGCCATTCCTTTGCCTTAGAACCTCCTTCTCCCAGTGCTACCATTGTGGAGTGGCTGGAGGAGCTCAGATTCCAGTGGGGGAAGCGGGTCTCAGTGTAGTGTGTATGAGCAGAAAGCTATACAGGATCAGATACAGACAGGCCTTATCTTTCAAGAATTAGCATAGGTTCCCCTTCCTTGTTTAGGGGATGTAGAAAAGACCCCTTCCGACCGTCATGCTTATTAGCGTGCTGCCATAGCCCACAACCCGTATATCTCTTTAGTGGCTTGCTCAGAATTCCCTACTATAGTGTGGCATTCCCATTTTCAGTGCTATGTTTGGCTAACCACAGGCGGCAGTATTGTAAGGGTGGTCCCTGTGGCCATGAAAGACCAGCAGAAGACAGCCATGGAGGCACCCAACCCTTTAACCTAGGGTGTTCAGAAGGGTGCTTTTATAGACATGGAGATCTTTTGTTCTTCTCCAGGTTGGTGTTTGTACAGACTGTTCTCTCTTTGCTGCTTTTAAAGAGTTTATTATTAAGCAAACTCCCTCTATTAAAAGCTGCATTTAGGATATGCTTTTTCAACTGTTTTTTATCTTTTTTATTTAGAAAGCATCTTTGTGGTAGATTGAAACTCCCTGAAAACTCCTCTAGAAAGTTGATGTTACTTATAAAGTAGGAAAACCAGACAATTTGAAATTCAGACTTGAATACAGTAATCAGTGAGCATTTGCCAACCCTTGCCAATACTTGTTTGTGAAATTACAGTGTCTTCCTTGGATATTCGATTGCTATTTTTATTTCTTTAGCTGATGAAGAATCAAGTCATATTCCAGTTTAGTTCATTCTCCTATTACATGACTGTCCTTAAAAATTTTTGCACTACTGTAATACGAGTAATAAGCTTGACCTCTATTGGCAAAGCTGCTACTCTGATACTCTATTAATCTATTACTAAGCTATTCTTAGATATTCTGGAGTGGTCTTAGTAGCTTCTTGTACCACTTAAGTAAGAATCTTTATTATTTTCATTTACAATTGCATTCCATATAATCACTTTTTAGACTTGTGAGTGGTCTATCTGAATTCATTAGTCTGCTTTAAGTTGCAACCATACATTCAGCAGTAAACAACTGAGCCCATTATTCTACCGTCATGCTAGTTTGGACACCGATGTATTTCTGGATGTTACTTTCACTTGATGAATCAAATTTTCTAATTAGCCATTGAAAAAAATCTACTAAGGATTTCACATGACTTTTAGATGTTAGTAGGAGTCCATGTGGCACAGTAGAGGTGAGCACTGGAACTGGAAATTTGGATGCATATGTTCTGCTTCCTCTACCTGTTTCTCAAACTTGGGGGAAAAAAGTTAGCTTTCAGTGCCTCAGATGATACCTCTCTAAACTATTACAGTAATATCTGCTTTGTTTTGTTAAGAGCTCTAACTAAAGACCAGCAGAAAATTCTCTTAAACTCCTCTGAAGTGAGAGTCTAACTTGAGTGGGGATGTATGGCTGGGATAAGAACAACAGAAAATGTATTTATTTTTAAGTTTGACAATTATTGATCATTTCCTAATGTAAACAAATAGCTGACTTTTGTCCATGCTACCACTTTTTGTATTTTTACTATAGTTTTGCCTTCCAATTTGACAGCCTGTTTTTGGGTTAAAAAAGAGCAGAAGTTCATTATCGATAAGCTGGCTAAAAGGCATGAACAGGCATTTTAGTTCTGTGCTGACTGTGGCATGTAGAGCTTTCCACCTGTCATCTACACATTAAACTAACTCCCACTTTAGTGTTTGTCTTTTATTGCTGCTTGGCTAGAGGTGGGGTTTTTATAGAGCGGATGCTATAACAAAAGCAGATGTTTGAAAATATGTTGACAGCCATGGAATTGGTATTATTTCGAAATTCTTCAGTAATCATTCACCTCAGGCCAAAAATAGCATTGGCTTCTGTGGTTGTAGCATTACTACTGGGTTAGAGTTTTAAGCAAAATTCCTACTAATACTCCTAAAGGTAGCATTCTGCGGGGTTATTGGAAAAAAGTTGGTGAAGTTGTTTGCTGGTTTGTTTGGTTTTAATCACTTAAGTTACTAGTTTATTTCTGTCAAACTAGTTTCCTTTTAATGTTAGGTAGCATTTATATTGCATAGAACTTGATTTTCTGATAGATTTTTTTAAAAAATCTACATTCTTAATATTTTTAACCTTTCTTTGCAGTGTTTGCTAGTTCTGAGCCTGTGCCAGGATTCCAGGGAGACACCCTGCAGTTAGCTTTCATCGACCTCAGACAAGTAAGACACTGGTTGTTGGTTTTTATCCTACTAATTTCCCCTTTTGACCAATGCTGAAGTTATTAAATTCAAGAACCTTTCATGTTTTTGCATTCCCATGTAATTAGTTTTGAAAAGCGGTTATTTGAAGTGTTATTAGTGGCACTATTCCCTGTAATTTAGCATAAAACTGTTTCTCCAATGTGTTGTTAGGGGGCACTGTGCTACTGGTGGTACTGTTACACGGATGTAAGATTGAATTTTGTCGTGACAATTTTGTAAAGATCCTGTCATGCCTTTTTGCAAGAGTGTACATGTAACCCTGGTGTGTGCTGGCCTCATTCCATTTTGAGCAATTGTTTCTCTCTACAAATCTACTCCCTGGAGAACAGAAGTGGGTATGGTATTATTTAGCATTTCCTTTCTTTAATTTGTGACATAGAATTCCTCTAAACAGTTAGAAAGCAGCTTTACTCCAACCGGCTGATCATTATTCTATATCAAATTTAATTTTAAATGCCTTGGTATTGGAAGCACTTCTCCACAGTTCTTTCCAAAAGGAAGGTTTTCCAGACTAAAATCTACTTACCTTAATTTCGTGTAGTTATTTCTATTCCCTACTCTCTGTAAATTCTGACACTATATACAACCATAGCAATTTATTTTCAAACACTGCTCATACTTGAAGTAAGCTTTTAGAAAGGATTTATTATTTCACAAAATTGTGAGTATAAGTGTCATTTAAACAATGAAATGGATCATTAACTGCAGAGGGAGGGTCTTTAGTTTTCTGCAGATGTTGGTGATATTTTTCAGCACCATTATGAGCCTGTCAAAGTCATCAGAAAATAAGAGAAATGTAGAAAGAATTCCATATCAAATTATCTATATAGTAAGAATATTTTTGCTTTTAATAATTTAGTAGATTTTCACAGTGAGATAATGAAAAGGCATTTCAGAAGGGAAAATTCTTGAGGCAAAAGTATTCCAGTATTCCTAACATGTAGAAACTACTTCATTAAAGTGTATTTAAAAAATAAGTAAATAAAAGTTGAAAGGTAGAGTTGTCTGTTACATTCTCACAGTAACATGGCAATGAACAGTATCTACAACGCGATAAACGAGGACTACATGAGGAGGATATAGGATCACGGCCATAAGATTTTTTCATGTGATACATGCACATTAGGAGTGCCAGAATGCGGCATGTAAAGATGTATTTTGCCAGACTTCAAATACCACAAGTCTTGCCTTGACTAGCAGCCACCTTCTTTTGGATTCTTTTTTATTCTCCTGTTATTATCACTGTTAGAAGTGACTAAACATCTTCCAATTTGTACTAAGTCAGTTTAGTTGAGGGGAAAGGATGTTGAGAGATTTTGGCACCATTTCTGTCATTCACTTAAGTGCTATAAATCCTTGTAGAGCCTATGTTTGTTTCAAGGGAAAACATGATTTCCAGCTATGCAGGAGGGCAGGGTGTGTACATACTTGCTACAGGAAATAAATAATATTTTTGTACGTTTTAAGCACCAGCTGTCGAGCATGTCACATAAATAGGGATTATGTTGCTTATGATAGCTCTCAGTTCATGTTAGCAACTTATATTTAGAATTCTTTTGATGCAAGTAACGCTTTATAGAGGATGCTCTGTATGCCATGAGAATCTAATCAATTTCAGATACTTTATGAACAGCAAAAGTCTGGGCAGTTCTCTTCCTTAGGTTGCAATCTGACCTTGTAGGTGTCGAATAGTTTTAGTATTTATACCTCTATATTACTTTTTACTATATTTTTGCATGCCTCACAAAAAGGTATTGCAAGTACACATGAAAAACAACATTACCATTTAGTAAGGTTTTGCAGTGTTTTCCTTCTCTTCCCTATTTGTGATCCATTTCTATCTCAATAGTGTGGATGACAGTTCTTTTCAAGAATACTTAGAAAGGCAACAGAGCCTTTTTCAGAAAGTTCTTATAAAAGGTCATGCTTCTGTTTTTTGGTTTGAATTTGATACTTCTTCATGAATTGCCGGATATGAAAGATAAGGAAGTAGGTCCAGTGGTCAGGTTTTACCTGCCCACCCGGACTGTGCCCCGAGGTCAAACTCCTGATATTGGCTGTTTGGTACAGAGGAGCTGATGACAGGTAGGGGCTGATACAAGGGGGAAAGCTTGAACCGTATCAAAGCTAAAAGGCAGGAGATTTGGGACTCAGTGAGAGACTGTAGCTAAAAGATGGATCAGCAGGATTGCCCTCTTCTTAAAAAGCAGCTGACCTGCAAGGGAAAAGACTTTATCGTCCTGCCAATCACATGGTTGCTAATGGAAGCCAGTTATCTCAACAACAGCTTACTCTCTCTCTGTTGTACTAGGGCAGTGTGTAAGATTAATGAGGATTGGGCAGTAGAATACTGTAGCACATTTCACGAAAGAAATAAAGTCACTTACAAGTAGCCAGCTTGGAAGACAGAGAGGGAAGAACTACACTTGGATGGTTACCACGGGGGGAGGGGCAGCTTTGAAAAGAATTGCCATAGGTATTTTTCTCCTAACAGTTCCTGGTCCTGTGTCTTTCCCTGAAGACAATCTATAGACAGCATGTTGTCCCCTGCAGGCCTACTTCTTTCCTTCTTCCTTCCGCAGACGTAGAAGAGCAAACAGAAAGGGAAACAGTTGGCTGGAGAAGGAGTTGCTTCTAAGAAAACAGTAGTTGGCAGCCGGAATTGTGAAGGAGCAGGCACTTCGCAATATCTCCTTTGCTGAGCCACCTGTTTCTTCTTATACTGTCCCCTCTTATGCTCTGGTCATACTTAACATGCTCCTTAAAGATTTAGTAATCTATAGAAACCCTAGTCAATAAAGATTTTTGTGCTACTCCCATAACCATAGTATCTCAGCAACTTATAGAAGTGACTTGGTGTGGTTTACTAATCACACATAGTGCACTTGTTCTCTATTCTGTTTTCTTCTACCAGGACAAAGAATTGTGTGTGTGTAGGTGACTTTCTGATTTTTGTGTTTTGACTGTGGTCTGCTATATATGTTTGGCAGACAATATCGAAAATAACTTGGGGGGCGGTGGGGCACAATTTATGAAGACCTTACAAGCCTATGTAGCACATGGAATAATCTAAAAAAAACCCCAAACAAATAAAAGAATCCAGGCTAATTTCAAGCTTGGACAGTCTTTTCTGTGTGAGTGGTTTACTTCAGATGGAGGAGTTCATTTTATTTGCTTCATGCTGAGGGGTAATAAGCAGAGTCAAAACACAGTTGGCTTTTGCATCACTGAAAATCTTTGCACCTATAGCAGCCGACAGGCTATTCTCCAAAGGATACATGTACCTATGTAGTTTCATTCCTGGGCTGATAAGAGTGAATTGTGCTTCAGACCCAGGAAGGTGGGCAGTGGCAGTGGAACTGCAGGACAACACACAGCATTTTCTTAGAGTTACCTGAAGTTTACTGCAGGAAGGACACCAATAAGCAGTTCCCTATACTAATAGGGAATCATGTGGCCATGATCACCGTGAAACTTGCAGCTCCAGCTAGTTCAGCTACTCCTACAGCAGCAAGCAGCTGCTAAGAAAATTGGGATAGACTCATGGTTCTGTACAGCTGCAGTAATTGTGTCATGCCATTTGTCTTAGCATATGACCTGAAGTCATACCTGCGTGCACCCTTTCACCCCACTTACTTAAAGCCACTGAGGGGCAGGCCAGCTAAGCAAGGCGATTATCAAGGTGGCATGTGCTGCTTTAAAGAGACTGGTCTCTGGCATCTCGTGAAGATGACCCAGCTCTGCTGCGACCTGCGTCGCTCTCTGAAGATAATCTTTTGCTACTGTCTATATAGGGAGCCTGGGTAAATAGTACAGTGGCCCAAAGTGAGGTGGAATGAACTTTTGGGATTTTGCTACCAATTCAGATCCTAGGTCAATCGGAATTAACCTTCAAAAGTAAACAGGACTTAGTTCATCCTACTTGAATTAGTCTCTGAGGAAGCTCAGCCTCTGACATGAATTAGTTTTGTCCTGGTTATGATCTGTTCTTTAATGCCCAAAGACTAGAGTTACAGTTCTGAAATGTGAGGCAGCTTGCTGGATGTCTTGAACACTTAAATATGTTGAAGAAAAGGCCTGAATCTTACAATTTTTGCATTACTCTTTGGAGAGCCAGCATAGTGTGTAGTGGACAGGAGAGGTAACCTCGTGGTAGCATGAGAGGTCAACAGTTGCTGTCCTAGGGCAAGTTTCCTGCTTCTTAATCAACTGGGTGGTAACAAATGTTTATTCTTGAAATCAAATCATTGCCTGCAGAGTTATAGCCTAAGCTGCGAATGTAGACTGGCTTTTTTTCACTTTAGATTTCACAAGTTGTTTCTAGTGTTTCTTTCCACCACAAGCACTACTTCAGCCTCAAACAGGCCTTCTTCCTCTATTGTCTGATCTCAGACAAGTACTCAGCTAGCTTGATGATTGTGGAATTTCCGTATTTTGCCAGGGGTGAGAACTGCATCTCATCTCCGTTCTTCTGGCACTTAAGTACATGTTGCTAATATGTTCCAGTTGCTGTCAGTGCTGGTCCTGCAAGAGGGGCAGCTGTCTCAAGTGAACATAATCATATGCTGTTGGTAACCCCATAGCAATATCTCCACCCACCTGGTAACATAGTTTACAGTCTGATAGTGTTGTGTCCAGTCTCTGAGACCAAGGGCTGTGAATGACCAGGTCCGTAAATTCTGTGTAGGTATGGGAGAAAATTCTCAAGGATTTTCAGCAATTTCTGTTAACAGCTTGCTGACGTTACAGATAAAGTAGATATAAAGCCATAATGCAATCAGTGCCATTAAAGTTCAGAATAATGTACCATGGAAACATTAGAAGATACTTTTTTGACAGACTTTTGTTTATGATGGGCATAAATAAGCATGTGGATAAGCACTTATATAAGCTGAAGTTAGAGTAAATATGCAATATGTATTCTTTCTAAAATTGATAGCTGATATTTAAAAGTATAATACATTTTCTTCTGATTCCAAAGCATAATGGAAAGTACACAGATAGTATCTTGGGTGCTTGTCCATTTACTTTGTAATGCATTTTCTGGTGTAATGTTAGTGAGGAATATTGCTAACCTTCTGAACTGTAGTGGTGCACACAACAGATGTAAATTTATTTCAAGGAGAATATTCTTACTAGTACTTAATACAGTACTCCTCTTTCTTTGCTTTCCATTCGTCACTGAGATGTGATACTGTCCTTCGGATAAACTCAGAAGT